ATTAGTCAGTTCAGGTTCGAACGGATTTTTGCTCATTTTTGGTATGTGAATGAAGTAAGGGCTAGGGATTTTGATATTTAAAAAAAAAAAAATGCAAATTAGGTAGGGTTTGGCATTATATTAGCATATTATATAAACACAAACAGTCTGTGGTGTCCACTCGTCTGGTTCGTTTTACAAGATTTCATTAACAATATCTTTAATGCAAAATTGGTATTTCCTCTCACTCTGGCCGATAAAACGTCTATATTAGAGTAAAGATTTAACAAAAACATGTCGAACTCCAGCATAACCTATTTATTTCAAAGCGCCATCACTACAAAGCGGGGGTATAGCGCCATCTACGGTCACAATTGTGATTCATTTTGGTTTATAAATATTATTGCGATATACAGATGGCAATCGTTTCTATAAATGTACGTCGATGGTTTGCTCAATTAAAACTGACTTCTTCTTACTCACTCTTTGTGTCCTTTTTTTGTGGTGAGGCTACAGTGTCATTGACACTTTCATTCAGTTCGGACTCTTATCATATCGTTATAAGCCTGCTATATCATTAATTAAATCCCCTAAGTATAAATATTTGGTGCATTTTTTATTACTTGGTTGCCTATTAATATCTCCTTCTCTATCCTTTCTTTGTTTTGTGAATTTTATAACCATTGTATTTGTTTTGTTCTTTTAAATTCTAATCTTTTTGATTCAGCTAATCTGGAGGCATGACTGAGCGATTTTTGTTACTGTTTTATAATCTCCAAAACTAACTAACTCCATCTTCTAAAACAACAGACCATCCGCTGACCGCTGTGGAGACGTGCGCGGGCGGCCTCGAATTTGGCGCACGTGCTCCACTGCGGACAGCGCTTCATACTTGAAACATCTCCGCGGCGGTCGCGTGCGCATATCCCGCGACTGGCGGGGTCTCATCCGCGCGCAGCGCTTAGGATCAACAGCAAAGCTGTGCCACGCAATCTTGTATCATGTCTCTCTGGTTAAATTGACTTGGTCGTTATAATAGGAATAAATCTGTATGTAATTTATAGCGTGGCATGAACAGTGGCATGAATCGGCCGTCGACTTCAGAGTGATAACTTTTTATGACCAAAATTTTACTGAAGTATTGAGAACTAATAGAACCAATCTCACGTTGTGATTTTATTACTGGACGTGATTCGGGCCTTCTTGATGAAAACTTTGCCTATTCCATCATGGAATTTTAGTTGTTTTACCTTGCTCTAATCTTACACAGAGACATTAGGAGGTTTTTTTATTAGCTTGTGTGCTTTTCCGTGCGCTTCTGTGTCTGTGTTATGAGTGCAGCTAGGTTGTTAACAGGCTGGCCAGTGACTCTGCGTGGTCATGCATGATTATTGATGGAAGATGCATTGATTGGCCTGAATGGCATGTAAAGCTGCATATTTATTTCGAGCTTAATCTCACTCATACTCGCGTGTCTATAAATCAGAGTATATATGATGTTGTTTCGGGTGTTGTTACGCAGTGAGATGTGAGTTCATTGAACTAAGCTCAGGGATGAGCAATTGCATCTAAAGGGAGGGCGTGATGTGTTAATGTGCAACTGTGCTAATGTGTAGAGAAGTGTATCCAGCAGCAGAAGTGCACTGTTGCTTATCTTAGTGATCGTTGTTCCAGCATTCAGTAATATATATATATATATATAATCAATGATGGTTATCGTGACATAGTTTGTAGCAGCATTCCGCCACATAAATGCCACGAAGTATAAAATCACCACAATATGTATTTATTTGATGTCAATGCGTGACCAGTTCTGGAGCCTGGATTCTGCTAATATTATCAAGAATGCCACCAAGACATTGTTGTGCCCCTGCGCCTCACGCCCACACATCCCTCTCCCCTGTGTTGTGGTGATTAGCCCTGACTGGCTGGCAGAGTCTGAGCTGCGCTGGCTGCAGCCAGTGCTATAGCTGGCTTCACCCGTGATTCAGCTAGCAGTTTTGTCTCTCACACGGCTCGCTAGCTGCTCTGTGTGGGTGTGTGCGAGTGCTCGGGTTGTTGTTGCTGTTGTTGTCGTTTTCTCCGTGAGGATGCTTAGACCTTCACAGCCAATGCCTCGACCTTGACCTCCACCAATGCCGTAGTTTGTGAGTAGTTAGCAAAGGTGTGTCGATGATTACCTCACTCAGTGAATCAAATCAAGTGAAAATTGCGGTGGCGATTGCAGGGGGAGGGTTGTGCATCCTGGCGTTAATTTTCGCTTTTACTCTGTGTTTTGCTCGCGTCTGCTGTCTGGTTCTTAACATGTATTGTGCATGTACGTACGTTGAATATGAATAGCATGATTACGTGTGATAGATGCTGCTGGTAGATAGACATGGAACGGTGACAGGGTGGGGTCACTGAATCATATGTTAGGGTACCGTGGAACTTTCCACACGCACCCCACAGTGGGTGACTAATAGCTCTTTATTCGCACGAGATTAAAAATAACTTCAAAATAAGTACCCTACTTCCAACCTAACCTTAACCATAACAATGAACGATTAGTAACAACAAATAATGATTAGTTACCGTATATCGGGTGTGACGAATGTTACACGGTAGCCGCTATGTCATGTAATGTATGTGATTATGACAGTGACAGGTGTGCGTATATATGGTAAATGTCATGTAATGTATGTGATTATGACAGTGACAGGTGTGATGCCACAGCTGGGTGGTGGGGTGGTGTTGTTAGACTGTTGACCCAGAAATTACTTCGCCCTGATATTGATTGATGATGACGAAGACGATTAGTCTGCTGCCGTGCTGAGCTGGCACCAAGCAGAAATGAAGTTTGGGAAACTCCTCCCTCTTCTCAGATCAATACTGCTGTGACAGTATTCCACTGTGTCTGTTGTTGCTGCAGCATCACGAGCAATATATACTAAACGCACGGCTGTAAAAATCTACTGCCTTCGCTCATAATTCTTGATTAGGCCACAATTAAAAAAACCTTTGTTTGCCTTCACCCGACCCAGGCTGAAAAGTTTGGGTAGGTAGGTAGGCTTTTTTTTGAAGGGGTCTTTTTACAAATTCAGCATGGTGTCTACATGCTCGAGTGTGCTTGTGTGGAGATACCTTTTATGTTGAATGCTTGTTTTGCTTGGTACATATAATGTATTGCCTACAGATTTATTGTATTGTATTATTATGTATTATGTATGTATGTATTGTATTATTATGTATTGCCTACAGATTGCCTACAGATTTATATAATGTACAGTGATACAATTTGTTTAAAAAAAAGATCAATAAAATTGTTTAAGTCGGCCCCTTTTTGGCAGGTCGGTCGGCCGATCGATCATGAGGGCAAACAAACAATATTTTTATTATGGCTCTAATCCTCGTACTATAGCTGCCTTTGAACAGTGGAATAGGAGAAGGGGGAGGTAACGTTGTACGGTATAGTTGCGAGCGTTGAGGGTGTACTGTAAACTGTAAGGTTGTGGAGAGGGAGAGGGAGAGTGAGGGTGAACTGGGGCCCGTTGTCAGTCTTAACATGAAATCTTTCTTGTAGACCGCTGACAGAATCATTGTGAAGTTACGAGAATTTAAAATCCTAGAAAATTTCCTATGATAATTTTTTCGAAACGAAATTCTGTCTTCGGTCTACAAGCAAAAGTAATTTTGTTTCCGACAGCAGCCACGGGAAGGTTGCGGGAAAGGGGAAGAAGGGTGAACTGGAATGTTGCAGGTGGAGGAAAAGTGTGATAAACGTTTTGACAGTATCACCAGATAACAGTTTAAGTGCATCACAGCGATAGCAGGTAACATGCAAAAAAAATTGCGGGGAAAAACGTAGAAGTATACACTTACGTGAAATGGACCGTGTGATATCTCGGCAGGTGATTCATGGTTTACGAATGAAATGTAAATCTTAATATGTAAAGAAAGTGATAGCAACTAAATATGGGAATGAAAAAACAAAAGCAAACACATTTTTAACATGGGTAAGGTACGTCGATGCCACAGTGTAATGCTGTCTAGTAGGATACAGTGACGTGCATTGTTTGACTAACGTACGACCAGCACCACTGCTGCTGCGTTCCATCATAGATATACACAACTATGGTTCCACGAAGGTAGGAGGTCTGTGTGTGTTCAGCAGTTTTAAAGTGCGATACAGTATCTGAAGTATTTGCTAATAGCAGGAGAGGCCCGGCTGTCTGGCTTTACCACGGCTTCTATGGGAAATCCCCTGTGTGTTAGTTGCGTCTACGTGCATCGCTGAATTTAGTTTGTACTCGTGCAAAGTTTTGGTGTATAAGTATGTTATATATATATATATATATATATATATATATATATATATATACATATATAATATACTGTCTTGTAATGAATTGTACTTGTATATATATACTACCAAAGGCTAATACATGTATACATATAGTCATGTATTATTAGCTCTTGATAATACCAGGATTACCATACCTATGGCTGTGTATGTGCTCCTGATAGTGCTGTATAAGTCTTTGTATCTATGTAGTGTATATCATCTATGTTTAGTTCAGTGAGTGTAATGATTTTTGGGGTTTATTTCAGTTGATAAGCAGCAAATTGTTGTTGCAGCAATTCGGTTCGACACGGAAATAATGAGTTATCCTGATTAAAATGTGAAAGTGAAATTGATCCATTTAATTTCATTCTGTCATTTTCACAAAAGTAAAGTAGAAAATTGAAATGGAGTGTAATTTATAGATTCCATTGTAGCGGTCATCATTTAGAGCTTATTGTCGTGTAGAAAATGATGCAGAAGAGTCTGCATGCATTTCGATACCGGGCTTGCTGACCATGGTTTCTTGTTTACAGGCGACAGGAGGCAGTATGATCCATCTGTTCCTCATTGACCATAGTCTCTTGTATTCAGAGAGCGATCTACTCTTTCTGCTCCTCGTTGGCATGTAATCACTTGTTCACAGAGGACAGTGCATTCGTTCTGCTTCCCGCTCTCATGTATAGTCTCTTGTTCACAGAGGGCGGTGTGTTCGTTCTGCTCGGACCGTATCTGGGGGCTGGGCCGGCAGGGATACAAGTGTGTCACGTGCAAGCTTCTCGTTCACAAGCGCTGCCACAAGCTCGTCAAGATCCCATGCCAGGGCCCTGCCGACTCTCCGCTGTTCGGACACGAACACTCCGTGTCCATGCCAGCAATACTAGAGGACGACACAGCAGCCAACGGACAAAAGAACGAGGGTGAGACAGAGATGGAACGCTTGCTGTCTTCAGTAACCAGGGGACAAATTTAGCAATTTTAGCGTACTTGCGAAAAATCGCGAGTGCCTAAAAAATCTACGTGCTAAAATGAATTCTAACGTGCAATTTTTTTTGTACAACATAAACTACTTCCCAATATTCGCTGGTTCCCGCGGTCTACGCTATGGTTCGGAATAAGACTATCATTAGCGCAGGGAACCAGCGAAGTTTCGTTTGGGCGTGCTGCCGGAAGTGATCAGCATTATGAAAGTGTAAACAGCGTACGGTAAATAACGGCGAATTGAAACTTGTTTAGGCAATTTTACTGACCAGTTTGACCATTAATCATGAAATATATTCTTTCCGTGATCGACAGTGATAATGTATGCGGTGTATGCTATAAATTTCCACTCGCAGAAAATAGCAAGTGCTTATATTTTCTACTCGCAATTTCTCAATATCGACACGCATTTTGCGAGTTAGCAATAGGGAAATTCGAGCCCTGGTACCTACTTCGCGTGCTATCAGCTAATTGTTGTAGTAGCTGCTGTAGATTATTATTATTATTAGTGCTTTAGTCTGTGCGCGTGCGTGCGTGCGCATGCCCATGCACGCATGTATGTGTGTACGCGTGCATGCGTACCTGCACGAGATATAATCGGGTGGTTGTACTGTTGTTGTAGGAGACTACTCTAAGGCGGAGGACAGTGCGAGTACGAACCAGGCAGAGCTGAATGACGATGCGCAGACTCAGAGGAACATCAATCAGACGGGCAAGGCCGCGCTCGAACAGTTCACGCTTCTTCGCGTGATCGGACGGGGAAGCTACGCCAAGGTACTGCCACTTTGCAGCTGCGTCTAGGAGAGGTTGTTCTATCAAGTACAGACGCAGAAATCACGCATGTGTGTGCGTGCGTGCGTGTGCATACGTACGTATGCGTGTGTACATCCATGTGCGTTACTGCTCGTTGTTGATGAACAATGGTAAATGTGCAGCATCATGGTTTAGTTTTGGCTGTGCATAATTCCTAGGTTTAAAGGTGGGATGCTTCGAACATCTATATCTCCATCCTCATCCATCTAAAATGAACACTTGTACGTGTGAAATACAATAAAAATACAATACAATACAATACAATACAATAAAAATACAATACAATACAATACAATACAATAAAAATAGCCCTAAATACACAACTGTTCTTACTTCAACTGTTCAACTATAAATGTTTAATTACTATTTCAGGTGTTAATGGTGGAACAGAAGAAGTCTAAGCGCATCTATGCTATGAAGGTCATTAAGAAGGAATTGATTAACGATGATGAGGACATAGACTGGGTGCAGACGGAGAAACATGTCTTTGAGACCGCATCGAACCATCCCTTCCTCGTTGGCCTTCACTCTTGCTTCCAAACTGCCAGCAGGTAAGGAATCTACAGCCACCTATGCAGGAGCCTACTTAGCTGAAGGCAGTTTATTGCCTAATGCAGTTAGTTTTTAGGTAATGAGTTACCATTTAGGTAAACCACCAAGCCACCGTGCCTTCTCCCTCTGGACTGGACCCAGCCCATCGCTAGACAGACAGCTGCAGCATAGCATTCACATATTGACTTTAGGACATGATGGTGCATTGCGTGCCATTATTTCACTATCATCTGCTTGCGTAGGCGTTGAGGAATTCCTGATGGAATCGAGCTACGGTAAAACTCAAACGAGGTTCATCCTAATCTACTCTCCTAAAAGCGAGGGTTAAACTGTAGGAGTATAAAATTTTATACCTGTTAGTAGGCGCAAAGTGATTACATTGCCAGCAAAAATATAATTACATGAATTAAATCTATATGTAAAGTTACAGGCCCTCACTATCAGGGGGTGGCTTAAGTGATAATGATCTAAAGCTGCTGACTAATCATTGCTAATTGCTAATTAGAGCTGTTCCATATTTTTTTCCTGCATTGATGCAAATCATTTTGTGGTAATGAACGTGAAGTGGCTACAGTAAAATGCTGTAGCATGCGACTCCAAACTTGTCACTTCTTATTGCCTCAGGAATTTGTGGCCACGCGCATGTCGCGAGTACGTCCCACTACAGACACAGCAACCACATTGCTGCTAAACTCACATCGCATCTTTCTTCCGGTTGAATTGCTGCCTATAATATCAATACCAACATGAGCACCGGTGGCTGGCTAGCTATGCATTAATGCAATATAGCATGCATTCAATGTAAATCACACCCTCGAGCCAACGCCTACGAAATCCGATGCAGTTCGAGAGAAGTTGATATTCATAGTGCTATAGGGCCATAATAAAAATATTGTTTGTTTGCCCTCACCCGACCGACCCGCAAAAAGGGACCGACTCAAAATATTTTATTGATCTTTCCCATTCTTTTTATTTTTTTTCAAATTGTATCACTTTACATCATATAAATCTGTAGGCAATACATTATATGTACCAAGCAAAACAAACATTCAACATAAAACGTATCGCCACACAAGCACACCCGAGCATGTAGACACCATGCTGAATTTGTAAAAAGACCCCCCTCAAATAAAAGAAGCCTACCTACCTATCCAAACCTTTCAGCCTGGGTCGGGTGAGGGCAAACAACGATTTTTTTAATTGTGGCCTAGTGAAATCTGTGCATACGTGTATTTGAGCCGCTTATATAAAGTGGTAACAACGACTTTCATCTAGCGGTTGGGGTTTTCTTCTTTTTTTCCCTTGGATTTTTTCATGTTGCAGTTTGTGAGCGGGGATGGGATATTTCACGTAACTATTGTTGTTGTTTTGTTGTGGTATTATTTGTGATAGAGTATTGCAGCGAGGGAGACCTGACATTACATCTAACCGTTGTTGTGCCTGTTTTTCAGGTTGTTCTTTGTGATAGTCCGTTAGCGTGGGAGATCTGCTGTTATGTCTAACTGTTCTTGTTATTATTATTGTTGTGTTTTCTGTGATAGAGTATGTAAGTGGGAGAAGATCTGATATTTAATCAAACGTTGTTGTGGTTGTTGTTGCTCCTGCTGTTGTTGTTGGTTTTTCAGTTTGTTCTTTGTACGTGTGGGGGGGATATCTGATGTTTCATCTAACTGTTTTTGTTGTTGTTTTTGTTGTTATTGTTGTTCTATTTCTATGTGAAAGTTGGTGGTCTGACATGACATCTAACCATTGTTGCGTTTTTTTCAGGTTGTTCTTTGTGATAGAGTTTGTGAGCGGAGGAGATCTGATGTTTCACATGCAGCGGCAGCGTCGGCTTCCTGAGGAGCACGCGAGATTCTACGCCGCAGAGATTTGTCTTGCACTCAACTTCCTACACGAGAGAGGTACGTGGCTCTTTTGCTCGCGCGGTGGCACCCCACAGTGACATCCCATAGTGTCTTCCTGCTTACATCGCCCCGCACAGTGGTGCCCCACAGTGGCTGAACATGGTGTGAACACCACAAGCAAATTTACCCCCCGGACAACTACCCCCATGCCGTTTACTCCCGGGACAAACTCTCCCATGCTTATTAAGTCACACAGCAGTGGTTGGCCGCATGGTAAGTTTGCGCTGACCACTTGGTTGAAAGCGAAAATACAAAAAAATCGAACTATCTATCTATCCATGTATCCATCCATGCATGCATCCATCCCATTCCATGCATCCTATCCAATGACATCGCCACCGCACTCCCATCCCATATCCCATCCCATGTCCATCCATCTCATCACATTCAGTGCCATCCCATGCCCATGCCATGCCATTGCCATGCCGCATCCGATCCCATTCCACCGCATTCCATCCCAATCCCATGCCATCGCCGTGTATGCATCGCCATGCCATCCCATCCCATCCAGTCAAAAAAGTAATAAGGAAATCAAAAGATCAAAAACATTAAACATCAAAAATCAATTAATAAACTAAAGAAAATTAATAATTAAGGAGTGAAATGAAAGTAAATTAACATAAATTACAAAAATTAAAAATAATACATACTAAAGAGTAGGGTAAAAGGAAAAAGGAAAAAAAGTGGGAAAATAAGTTCCCGCCTGGAACTCGAACGCGGAATCCAGGTGTAGCAGACGAATGCTTGTATGGGCTGATGAGCCCACTGCCGGCCATTACGCTTTATTTACACCATGATTCAGACGTGATGTTTTTGCTGTACGTATGTGACGCCCGTCTATTGATCATAACGAATTTTTTTATGAATGTTTAACTTTTAACCTTTCTTTAAATTTTTGTTTTTAGCCAGAACCAACCTCCCAGCCGTGCTCGATTTCTGAAAATATCTTTTAGTTTTCCTCTAGGTGCGGTGCCCATTCTCTGTTATGCCGCAAACACACACACTTATTCGGG